TCCAGTACCAGGTGACAAAATCACATGACTCTGCAGCGTCAAAGAAGCATCCCAGGAAGCTTCTCAGGAAGGTGGGAGATTAGCATCTGCAAAGCCCTATTGTTCTCCCTATGGTTTATTAACTAACCAGCCAGACTGATTGCATTTTGTCTAGTGCATGTTCCCCAGGTGCAAACACTTTTGCAATTGATACAGTCAATATTCCTAACCTCAGATACAGAAATGATACAAGCATACAAATAGGATAATCACATTCAGTAAATCATAACCTTTCCAATGATATCTTACATGACCCATCTTGCATAAAACAGATCTTATGCTATAGTCATATCATAATATCTTTATGAAGGATATGGGACATAGTGTCACTCATGGTTCTGCCCCTGTGGAACTGTGTGGGCTCTTGGGGCTGGCACACTAAAGGGGTCACTCCCAGGCGACTGGTTACAGGCTGGGGCATAGATCGGACCCTGTGACTGTGACAGCCAGACAGAGGATGGTTCCTGAATACACCAGGAATATTTTGCTAGGTTGTCTGAATACACCAGGAATATTATGTGGAGAAAGTGCCCACTCTGCAGGGGGCATAGATGATAAATTGTTGGCCCCATTCCAGGAGTGTGAGAGGGCTTTCCCTTCACTTCCTCCCCTGGTACTTGTCACACAGACAGAAAGCAGAAGACCAGAAGTCCGAAATGTAGGCAATGCAATGTTTATTGGGGTTAGTTCCAAGCAAGCATATTCATAGCTCTACAGGCCGGCAGCCTGTTTCCCAGTGTTCCGTTCCCTGACACTGCAGAGCGTTTACCTCATGTCCCCCTTCCCAGCTCTGACACTGCAGAGCCTTGCCTGTTCCCCATTCCCACCCGCTCCTTCTTAGCAGGCCCGAATATACCTACAATGCACACCCTCGGTCCCGCCCCTTACAACTCATAGTCATGTTCCGTTTTGGAGGGTCGTGAGTCTAGGGTCTTCGTCCCACCTCTTTTGTATCCCATGGGAGGGGTAAGGAGTGAGGTTGTGTTCTGGCCAAGGCCAGGTTTTTTCTTTGGCTTTTAGTGTTTCTTATGCCTACTCCCCCTCCCTTGCCCCTCCCGACTGGTTGCTTGACCTTGCCTTGAGATAGGAGTTGAGGCAAAGTGTGCGCCTGTATATTATACTCCCACCATGCCCAGTTACACTTTAACTGTTCTTATCTGTAACAAACCCATGCTAGGCAGAAGCAACATACACATTGTCTTTGACTACACATATTAGTAAGGATCCCTTTGTTCACATATATTAGTATAAGATATGAGTATCAAAAAGTCAAACCCAAAATTCTATCTCAGGCTGACAAACATATATATACTAACAGGGAGATACAGATGCCTGCCTCGCCACCTTGGAAAAGGCTTGAGCTGAACCAAATTCCCCCTGCAGACTGGCCGTGTAGACTCACTCCCTTGTTGAGTTCCAGAACCATTGAGGTGTATAATCAACTGGATGGGACTGAGACTGGGACCTATGAACAGTTCAAAGGAGCCTTTTTGTGTAAATTTCAGTTAACACCTGAGGCTTATAAGAAAAGGTTTCAGGGTGTGCAAAAGAACAAGGGGCAACGTATATGGAGGTTGGCAGCGGGATACATGAGTACCCCCACAAGTGGGGTAAAGAGGCTGGTGTCACTACCCTGGAATCATTGTATGATCTGATAAGGTTAGGGAAGGCCTATGTCCTCTTGAGCTTAAAATGTGGCTACTGGAATAATCACCTAAGGACTCACGTAGCACGGGCTGATTGGTGGGTCAGTGTGTGGACAGTAGGTCTGGCCACTAAAAGAGACCCAAAGGAGAGTGACCTCAGTTGAGGCCGCAACAAGGGGGCACTATGAAGCAGACCCAAATGGGGATTTAGGTAAAATGAACCTAGGGGGGGATGGCCAATGTGGATAGACCATCCCCAAGGGATTGCAAGGACCGGAGGTGCAACATTTGTAGGAAAACCAGGCATAAGTGGGCAGGATGCCCAAAGCTTGATGAAATAAGGTTTGCCCAGGACAGAGCAGCTAACTCTTCCTCTGTCCAGCCTAGAAGAAGGCAGCCAGTATCTCAGGTGCAGAGAACAAACTATGTGACTGAACATTTGGAGGAAATCAGTTACACAGCCAGGGGGGTAGAGGGGTGGCGGCAGATGGGCTCCCACTCCAGGCACTGGTATACATGTCCTGATATACTCTCCTGGGCTCAGATCTGTCTGATCCTCAGTGAAAGTGAAAGGTGGTAGTTAATGGGAAAATATTCATGGGGTGGAAAGATTCTGGGGCAGAGAGAACCCTTGTCAAATCATGTGTGGTATAGCCCCATCGAATGCTGAAGGGCTGTGTAACCTGGGATGAGGTTACAAATGTAGAGCCATTTGCCTTACCCATGGCTCAGATCTCTGTGCAAACCCAGGAAGGATCAGATTGGCTAGTAGTTGGGGTTCTCTGGGATATCAGCTTTGACATCCTTTTGGGGAATGTCATCCCAGCAGGACTCTGTTGAGGGGAGGGAGGACAATGGGTTAATCCCAACAGGGGAGACAGCTCCTTCCATACACACAGCCCTGCGGCTGAGACACAGCTCCAGAGGGGCCTGCCAGGATGGGGGAGCACCTGGAATTGCTGCCTCAACAGACCTTGGGACACCAGAGTCTTGGAGACAGGGCTGGGTATCTTCTGCATTATTCACTGAGAGCCCTACACTCTGAAGGGGGCAGTACAAGCCTCCTGCAGGAGTCTGGTGCTGCAGGGAGCCACGGAGACAGACAGGGAACACTAATGCTGAAGGCTCAGTCTTGGAGTCCAGGGGCCTGCCTCTGTGGAACTGTGGGGTTCCTTGGGGCCTGGCCCTCTAAAGGGTTCACTCCCAGGAGACTGGTTACAGTCTGGGGCATACACCAGACCCTATGACCCATGACACAATGCAGACTGGCATATTACCTCCTTTAATTGAGTCCTCTATCAGGCTCTCCATTATCTTGCCTTGATCTGTGTCAGACCGACAGCCCTACAATTAGCTGGGTCATCCCATTTACCCTTTTAAAATATTGTCAATTAACTTTTTTCCAGTCTTCAGGGACTTCCCCAGTGTTCCAAGACTTATTGAAAATCAACATTAACGGTTCGGCAAGCTCCTCAGCCTACACTTTGAACCGTGTATCCAACTGGTTAGTCATAAAAGTCATGTTGTTTTCCTAGCATAGCTTAAGCATCATCAGTAGAGCCCTGCAAATCTGCAGATATTCACTTTATATCTGTGGACCATGTTTGTGGATCAAGGAGCAGAGGCGGATATGCATTTTGTATCCGCGCAGGGCTCTAGTCATCAGTATAAGTGTCAATGTAGTTATGCCAATCTACCACACCTTCAAAACTGATTGTTGGAAAGCTTCAAAGATTTTTTTCCCTCTGTACAATGTCCTATCCATGGGCAGCAAAACAGGAAGTCCTTGAGGATGGTTCAATCTTTTCTGCTCATACTGGACAAATATTATAAGTTGAGCTGAAGACAGCTCAGTACAGCTGGATGAAACTGCAGAAGTAATAGTTATACTGGACTCTTCTAAACAGATGTTTATGAACACCTGCAGACAACTCAGGAATTTGTCAGCTGACTTTGTCATTGGAAAGGGGAATTACTCTCACTTGACTGGCAGCTACACATCCCAACATCTGAGTCAATGTTTCCCCAGTTATAAAGAGGCTTTCTATTTGCAGTGACACCAAGTCTGATGCTTCATGTTTACAGCATTTCCACTGAAGGCCAAAAGGCAACATCTAGTCCGACCTGTATAACAGAGGCTGTAGAATTTCACCCAGTTACTCTGTAAGGATCCCAATAACTTGTTTAGCTAAGGCATACCTTCCAGAAATGCATCTGCTCTTGATCTGAAGACTTCAAGGGATGGAGCATACACAACTTCCTGTGGTGGTTTTCTCCAATGGTTGATCATGCTCAGAGTTAGAAATGTGTGCCTTATTTCTAATTTGAATTTGTCTGGCTTTAACTTTCAACCATTGGCTCTTGTTATGCCTTTCCCTCCTATGTTAAAAAGTCCTTTAGTACATGCTGTTTTCTTCTTTTGTTTGCACCCTGTCACACACACCATTGTCACAATTCACATCTTAAAGAACCTACACCCTACATGCCTAAATTTGACTATATTACTGTGAAAGTACAATAATTGCACCTACATTAAGGACTAGTCTTTCTGTGATTTGCTAAACAAAACAAGCCACTATACTTTGCCCTTGTATTGTGTATAGCATCTTGCATGCAAAGATATCAGTGTATGTTATTGAATATTTAATACATTATGCCTCTCAATACCCCTGAAAGGTAAATGTCAGAGAATAACAGGGAAGGGCAGAAATTTGATGTTCAGGTACTGCTCCCTCTACTTTCCTTTCCCAGGGTGGAGGGAAGCCTTGCTCTTCCTGATAACCTTGGCTGTGCTGCGTGGTTGTTGTGTCCCACTGGAGGGTCACTTTGTATTGCATGAGAGCTACTGCTGCTGCTCTAAGGCTGTGCCTGACAGGACTGCACAACATTGCCATCCAGTGTTCTCCGGTGCACAGTGCAGACCCGCAGCAGTTCTGAGCTTGCTCATTTTACACCCCTCCCCCACCCTAGGAGACAGCCCTGTAGTTCAGCAAAGAAGCTGTAGGATAGTGGTTCTCAAACTTTTGTACTGGTGACCCCTTTCACATAGCAAGCCTCTGAGTGTGACCCCCCATTATAAATTAAAAAAAACTTTTTTTGTATATTTAACACCATTATAAATGCTGGAGGTAAAGCAGAGTTTAGGGTGGAGGCTGACAGCTCACGACCCCTCATGTAATAACCTCGCAACCCCCAGAGGGGTCCCAACCTCCAGTTTGAGAACCCCTGCTGTAGGAGAAAGGAAGAGCCAGCACAGAGCTGATCGTCCACTTCCTCTGTGCGGAGTGTGTGAAAGGCTTCAGCTGGCCAGAAGCTCACATCCACTCCCATCACACTCGGCTCTCTCCACAGTGATCCATTCTTCTGTAATGTCTATAGGCAGCTACTGTAGTTCTCTGTATTTCAGAATGAAGCCCCATGCACTGAGAAAGCTCCAGCTGGTTTGGAAAGCAGCAACAGCAGGGGTCACTGGGAACGTGCCAGCCACCTGATATACTGCTCTCTGCACTGGTTCTTCTTCCCAAAGAAGAATCCAGCTCCATCCCCCCCTTCTTCTTTTCACTTTTAAACTCAGACACAGTTTGCAACCAACGCCTGGATTTCTCTCCTCCAGCTCCATCCTGGATCCCTCCACTCCCGTGTAACTGACCTGGCCAAACTTTCTAATGGCTTTTTTCCTGACGGTATCACAGGGGCTCTGGTCTGCCCAGACCCCTCTGCTGCTTTCGATGCGGCTGATCACAGGCTCCTTGGAACCTGGTCCTTGGCTTTTGCGACTCCGCCCTCAGCTTGCTACGTCCTGAGTCTTTTTTGGGGGGGGGGAGAATACCCTACCCCCCACTACATGCCCTCATGGGACTGAGGCCGCCCCCTTACTGTCCTCCACCCCAAGGAACCGCGTCCACCCCGTTACCCACACCCGGGGATCGAGCCCCGCCCCCTTTATACTCTCCCTGACCAGGCCCAGGCCCAGGCCCGAGCCCCGCCCCGTTACACTCCCCCGGACCAGGAGCAGGACGAGCTCCGTCCCGTCCCGTTAGCCCCGGTTCCGAGCCGGGCCCGCCTAGGCGAGGTGGAGCTCGGCGCGGCCTGCACCATGGCGGGGAGCTGCTCCGGGCCGGGCCGTCTATGGAGACTCTGCAACCTGCTCATGGCTGCCTTCTTCGGGCTGGCGGCCGCCGTTCAGGTGAGGCCGGGCCGAGGGCGAATGGAGGGAGGAGGGTGAATGGGGACGGGGTCTGTCAGTTTGGGGGTGAATGGGGAAAGGGGCTGGGGGAGGAGGGTGAATGGGGATGGGGTCAGTCAGGCTGGGGGGTGAATGGGGAAAGGGGCTGGGGGAGGAGGGTGAATGGGGATGGGGTCTGTCAGGCTGGGGGTGAATGGGGAAAGGGGTTTGGGGGAGGGGGTTGAATACACAAAAATAAAATAATAATTCTACATTTGTAAGTTGCACTTTCACAATAAAGAGATCACACTACAGTACTTGCATGCAGGGCCGGCTCTAGGATTTTTGCCGCCCCAAGCAAAAACAATTTTGCCCCCCCCCTCCGTTTTTTTCTTACCCCACCTCCGGCCCCGCCTCAACTCCGCCCTTCCCCAAATCCCCGGCCCTGTCTCCTCCCCCCAGGCTCTCAAGCCTAGGAGGGAGGGAGAGGGAGAAGGAGAAGCAGCGCGTGCGCCGTGGCCACTCGGGGTCTCCCCCTCCCTCCCTCCCATGGGAGATACCGAGCGACCGTGGCACGCGAAACAGCTGATTCGTGCGCCGCTGATCCCCCTCCTCCCAGGCTCTCAAACCCGGGAGGGAGGGCAAGCAGCGGTGCGCGAGCGGTAGCAGCGGAGGTGAGTTAGGGCGGCCGGGGCACATTTTTAGGGGCGGCATGGCCTGCGCCAGAGTGCCGCCCCTAAAAATGTGCCGCCCCAAGCACCAGCTTGTTTTACTGGTGCCTAGAGCCGGCCCTGCTTGCATGAAGTGAATTGAAATATACTATTTCTTTTTATCTTTTTACAGTGCAAATATTTGTAATTTGATATAATAATATAAAGTGAGAACTGTATACTTTGTATTCTGTGTTGTAATTGAAATTAGTATATATTTGAAAATGTAGAAAACATCCAAAAATAAATAAATGTTATTCTGTTATCGTTTAACAGTGTGATTAAAAACTGATTTTTTTTTAGGCTCATGAATAATTGCTAATTGCAATTAATTTTTGTAATTGTTTGACATCCTTAATGATAATCTGGTCCCCGTGCCAGCTCACAAGACTGGTGTTTTCATTTGCAGGTTATTGTTCATGGAGTTTGGTGTGGAAATGGCTCATAGAGACGCTTGCTCCTGTGCTTGTGTAACAGGCCAGTGTGTAAACTTCCCTGTGATGTTCTGTTCTGTGGAATACTGCATGTAGTCAGAGGTCCTGTGGTTTTGGCTATGTAGTTAGTTGCTGCAGCCCATTGTGGCCAGATGTTGTGAGGAATGTCATCAAGAAGTGATGTAGCTTTCATCTGTCATAAGAGAGAACCTTTGTCATGGCTTAACCCTGCCATCATACACTGTCAGTGTGGGGCTGTTCATGGTGGAGTGGGGCTTCCTGGGCCCCTCAAGGGGTTTAGTGGAAGTGTAGTTTTATAGGGGAGCAGTTCTCTTTGGGATTGTCATTCCCTTTAATTAGGTGGAGCAATTCATACGAGGAAAGTCAGATGAGAGGAAATTTATGTATATTCCAGTGATAAAATCAGAAGGAAAGAGGACAGTATTTTATCAAACCTGGCTATGTGCAGGACTGAAGAGGGAACATAGGAAAATTGGTAATTAATAAATATTACATAAAGAAAAATAATTTAATGCTGGAGAAACCTACTGTTATTACAGCATAAAATGGGACTTGAAATAGACAAGGAAATTGAAAAGGAGGAAATACAGTTCTTCAGTGACTGGAATCCACCACCATAGCCTGTGTGTACATAATGCAGGTTCAATCTAGACGGACATTAAATCAGATTGCCCAGGGTGGACAAAATAGATAAGTTACTTCGCTATACCTCAGCCAAGCCATAAGCAAGGCTCCATGGACTCTATGGCAAACTGGACCTACATTTTGCATCAGATTGTGTATTAAAGCTGAGGAGCTGGGCTAGGTAACAGGGCTATGCACAACCACAGAGTCAGCCTGCTGCCCTATCTCCACCCATCCTACTCAACCTCCAGCTGATGTGAGACGTGGAGAAGCATGCTGGAGAGGAGCTGGGTTTGCTGGATACCATAGGTGGTTTGTCAAAGCCCGGCTCTTCTCCATCCCACTTCTCCCAGTACAACAGAAATGGTTTAACCCATCCTCATGACTGCCATGTACAGCTCCCCTGTGACATCGAGTTGGCTTTCCCAGTTCACCAGGCAGTAGAACCGTGGAGCATCCTTAATGTGCCAATGACTCCACGTATGGAGGGTAGAGATACGTGGCAGGATTTACTCCTGGAGGGATTCTGCACTAAAAATTAAAAATTTTGCACCAAAAAATTAAAAATTCTGCAGAATTCTGCACATTTTGTCAAAACAATGCAATATAATTACACTACTTTCAATTGTTTTGGTAATTTATTTAAACTATAATGTAGAGAAAAGTCACAATAACTATTCAGCAGTTCCTAAACACATGAAAGTTAAGTTACAAACACTTGGTAACTAATACCCTGCATTCCAGTTATAATCCGGGATTTTCATTTAAATTACATTACAGAACACCAAACAGCCCCCCCCCCCCAAAAAAAGTAAAATGTCATTTTAAATTGCTCAGACTTTCACACATGAAAAACATACAGTTTTGCTAATCATTGTCCTAGACCTGGTTGGGTACTTTGGAAAGTGCTTGCTCCTGATTGTCCTGACATTTTATTGACTGTTTGGTAAATGTTTTATTTGTCCATCAGTCTTTTTTTTTTTTTTTTTTTTAATGGGTAAGTTAAATAAATCCTGAGCTGTAATTGAACTCCATTGTGCCACTTTGGCACAAGAAAAAAGTGTGTGTGCACTGTGGCATTTGTGATGACTGGGCCTCCAAGCCAGAGGGACCTGAGAAAGTATGACTCTCAGGGGAGAGTTTCCTTAGGCAAATCTAGAAAATCTTTGACCAAAATATAATATTATGGAAAATTAAAAGTCTCTGAAGAGGTGATGTGTTTTACAGATGGAGCAATTGAGGCACAGAGAGGGGAAGTGACTTGCTCAAGGGAACCGTCACCCACCAAGTACAGTTGGGAACAGAGCCCAGGTCTCTTTATTTGCAAGATAGTACTGAATCCAAAGTACAATCTTCCTTGACTGAGTCCAAACTCCAGCTGGCTCAGATTGGCAGTTTTGCCCTAGTGTTAGCATTGAAAGCTGCCCCCTGCTTTTATTCTTAGGTGTTATCAAGAAGAAACTGTCACCCATAATTCTGTTTAAACTGGTGACAGTTGGCATAGTTGGGGAAAATGTGCTTCCCCTGCACAACAACATTTTGATCTTTGGATTCTCTATTACGTGCATCCAGATGATGATAAGAGCAGTGCAGGGTGCCTATGCACACATGCTGGCTCTAACCAACTCTCCTCTCCAAAATAAGAGAAATCTGAACCAGGAGGATCCTTTTAATAAAGTACTTTTTATTCTTGATCGAACTGGGAGGACAAATACAGGTTTGAGAATCCTGACACTAGGTGAAAGCCTGTAAGATCTTGTCTGAGTGCTCATTCCGACCTCTTTGTTATTCCAGATAAATGACCCTGATGCAGGACTGTGGATAGTGAGTATGACTACAGACTTTCCTAGCTGCTGAAGAATCTGGAGCATTTTATAGGAGAGAATCCTAAATTCGCTCCTTTGTTGAACTTCTGCCCTCTTTTCTGTTACAACCCCCTTCTGAAAGGTTTACAATGGCTCTTCTAGCTTCGGCCTGACCTGTGGCGCACAAGTTCACAACATGTGGGTGACTTCAAACCATCTGATTGGGTTCTGTAATTCTGCCTGGAGCAGGTAAACCTGAAGCCTGCTTTGGATGAGCTTTAAATCCTCATCCTTGATAAAATAAGCAGATTTTTAAAATGACACCTTTTGGGACCATCATCTTCCTTCTGAATAGTGCCCTGGGTGTGGGGAGGCGGTGGACAGGTTACTCAAGTTTCATTAACTGCATGGTACTTCCAGGGTTTTTTATTCCACTTTGCTTACCCCCACCCCCGGCCATCTTTGTCTAGGGCAGGCACCAACTATCTCTTCTCCTACTTCCCTGGGGCTCATACCTCCTGACCTGAGTACCTCGGGGCTCCACATAACCTCTCTATATTGTAATCGCTCCAGATCACCCGCTCTGCTGCATTGTGTAAATGATTTGGATGGGATGTGGCTGTTTCTCTGTGCTCTGCCTTCTCATGCTACAGAGTGGACTTGCAATGTCTCACTAACAGGTGGTCTACGTTGTACCTGCTGTCCTTACACTGCTTGTTGGCCTTAATCCATCAATTACAGGTATGATATTGGCATTCTAAATGGACTCGCTGGTCAGATCTTCACCCCAAAGAGATTGGTTTTAATTTTTTGTCGTGGTAGGATGCAAACTCAGGGCTGCATGGAAGTGTGCTCAGCTGTCCACAACTGCAGGTAGTGAGGTGCCCGTTCGCAGGAGTGATGGTGACTGCTTTCCTGTTTGTAGGTGGACGTCCTGGAAATGTATTTAGTCTATTGTCTCTGCATAAATTCCTTGCTCCGACACATCCTTATTACTGCACCCATGCTGCAACAGTCTGGTTCTAGTACAGAATGATGATCTATTGGGCTGAGCATGAGATTGGGAGACAGAAACTTCCATGTTTTAGTCTTTGGCTCTGCCACTCCTATTGGCAAGTCACTGAACTTCTCTCTCTTTCCCCAGCTGTAAAATTGGCATCATTCTTACCTGTCTCCTAGGAGGGCTGAGGGTTAATGTCTGTACAGTGTTCTGAAGAGATAAAAGTATAATTACCAAATACTGTGATTACCACACAAGGTGCACATACAGCAGTGTTGTATTCTTAGTGGTTATAATATGGCATGGTAGGAGTTCTAAGATTGTATAGTCACTGGGGAATGTTATCTGCTGGCTGAGACTGGTGCGGCTGTATTTACAGGGACCCTGTAAGGCCAAATTTGGCCCAGAAAATAAAA